ATTAAACAATTTCATGAAAAAATTTCATAAGATTAAACAATGAAATCGACAGATGAAGGTGGTTTGCACGGTTTACACAAATGAGGGCGGTTTTCATATGATCACTTCTTTATATATATGTGTGTCTTTTCCTTTCCTTTTGAATTATATATTATTATATATATACACTAGAAGGTAATCGTGCAATGCAACAAGATATATTTTAATTTTTTAATATTTTATTTTATTTTTTATCTTATTTGATGTTAAAATATGGTTTTATGTGATTTTAAAAAAACGATGATATTTTTAGTTTTTAATAAAATATAAATTTGAAAATATCATAAAAATTTTACAAAAATATATCAAGATTAGTGTCAAATTTTTAAAATTCTTATTCTTTGTGTAATTTTTATTCAAATTTAATTTAGATTGAATAACGAAGTAATTTATATTTGGTTTAATAATATAATTTTCTTATAAACATAATAATTATTTATTTTATTAAAACGCGATGATTATCTTGATTGTATTTAGATTTTTTATATTTTAAAATAAAATGTTTATCCTCTATTTGATTATGTTTATCCGCATTTAATTACACGAATTCAAATATAAAACTTTAATAAGTTGTAATCTTGAATTTTTAGTAATATACGGTACTTCATACATAAAAAATGATTTTTAAGAATTTTTGTCAAATGTTTTATGATATAGCATAGATGTATATTTTTTAAGTAGATATATATTATCTTTACCAACTTTCACAAAATGACATAATTAGCCCTTTAGCATGATTGTAGATCGGGTAGTTTTAAAAATAGATCTTTGATAATCATAAATCTATTTATTTCCCTTTTTTCTTAATAAATATATCTATTTTCTATGTATAATAAATCTATGTAATTTATATCTATACTATATTATAAAACATTTGGCTAAAACTCTTAAAACTCTTAAACTCTTAAAAACTCTTAAACCCGTTCATCTCTATCCGATTTCATCCCATACATGAATTCGTGTAACTAACTGCAGATAAACACAATCAAATACGGGATAACCATCTCATTTTAAATATAAAAAATGTAAAATATAATTAGGATAATCATTGAGTTCTAACAGAATACTTAATTATTATCTCTATAAAATGTTATATTATTAAACCAAAAATAAATTATTTCATTATTAAACTTAAATTAAATTATAATAAAAAATAAATTAAAGAAATTACATAAAAATGGAAACTTTTAAATAGTTGATTTGACATTAACAT